TGGTATTATTTATTTAAAGGCCATTCTAAAGACGGATACTCTCAATATTGCAAAGAATATCATATCCCCATGGTCATACCCCAAACCGTCACCGTATTGCACCAAATTGCGGTTTCTCCACCGCCGGAAACAACCGCCGAAATATCGATTCCCCTAACATTTATTGACATGGTGTGGCTAATAGCACCGCCAGTGCATCGACTCATATTTTATCACCACCCCATATCAAGAACTGATTTTGTGGATTATCTAATTCCTAGGATGAAAGATTCATTATCTCAAACTCTCCAACACTATAGTCCCTTAGCAGGTAGAGTGATTGTCTCACCCGACAAAATAAACATGCCGGAAATTCGTTATGTGGAGGGTGACACCATTCCGTTGGTCACCGCGGAGTTCGACTCAACGAACTCCAACGATTTTAGCCACCTAGTGTCAAACGATGCAAGAAGTTCAATGAATTTGAACCCACTAATTCCAAGACTACTCCCGGCTTCACGAGCCCCGGATGGCTCACTCTCAATCCCATTGTTCGCATTACAAGTAACACTATTTCCCGATGTCGGGATATGCATAGGTGTGACCAACCACCACACAACGGGTGACGGGAGTAGCATATTCGAGTTCATGAAGGCTTGGGCATTCTTTTCTAGCCACCAGGCCCACCACAAAGACGACGACAAAGGCAAGTTTTCAATGTTATTACCATCTCAATATTTGCCGGTTCTTGATAGAACACTATTCAAAGATCCGAAAGGACTAGCAAAGATTTATTGGGACTTTGTGAAAACCATCAACATTGAGGAAGCACATAATGGCTTCTGCCTTCCACTTGTCACCGACAAGGTCCGGTCTACTTTTGTAGTGACACGAGACGACATTCAACGACTTAAGAAACACGTATTCGCACGAAGTCCAAAATTAGTACACGTCTCGTCATTTACAGTGACTTGTTCATATGTATGGAGTTGCCTAGTTAGATCAAGAAATGAGATAAATGAGGGAGACATGCAAGAAGGTGAAGAAGAAGAAGAAGAAGAAGAAGAAGAAGAAGAAGAAATGGAGTTTTTTTTGTGCCTGGCCAATTGTCGGGCGCGTTTGGACCCTCCCTTACCTATGAACTACTTTGGCAATTGTGTCATGCCATGTTTGGGAAGCACGAGCAAGAAAAGCCTAATGGGAGATGGAGGATTTGTAGAGGCGGCTGAGGCGATTGGGGAGGGAATTCGTAGCCAATTATACAATGAGGATAAGGATGGAGTGCTGAAAGGCGCCACTGACTGGTTGACGAGTATGTCCAGGATGACGATGGGTATGAGCCTGGCTGGCTCGCCCAAGTTTGACTATTATGAGCTGGATTTCGGATGGGGGAGGCCTACAAAGTTTGACATTCCTTCTATTGATGTGACCGGGGCCATTTCTGTTGGTGCAGCCAAGGATGACGCAGGTGGACTAGAGGTGGGTTTGGCATTGTCCGTTGAACAAATGGAATCTTTTGCCAGAATTTTCTCTCGGGGTTTGAAAGGTTTATGAAGCATTAGTATTAAGACTCAAGTTTCCATCCTAAAAGCTTTATAGAAAGAGTAGTTCATGTTTTAATATAATACTTTGTTAATTCAAATTTTTCCGGTGTGGAATTCTAACACTTGGGATGCATAAATATATTTAGCAGTCTTAAAATATATTGTCAGTCCCATCTCAAATAAGAAATGTGTTTAAAGTTATTTTTATCTCCTCTGCATAAATTTAAAAACACAGTTTTTAATTTATTATTTCACGTACTAGTCAAATTTGTCCAGGTTTTGTAACAGTAGGGAAGTGCAACTTTTTGAGTTTATGAAAAGTGAAAAACTTGGTTATATCATTGTTGTACGTACATCATGTTTTTTGGGCAATCGGGAGGTCAGAACTGAGATACTATCCCCAAATCTCTAATGAAGACAACTCTTTATCGTGCATTATTTGATCACTATGGTTTTACATAAATTTGTTAATGTGCAATTACCGGAAATATACTAAATTAAATTAACTATACTCATGTTAGTGTGCCATGTATACGTCATTTTTGTTTTGATCTTGTACTGTGTATGACTCACACTTAATTAGCAATACATGAAAATATTTCTATTACCATATTTCTGATAGCTTTGTTTCCAATTACTGTATATTGTTGGACCCCCATAGCAACAAAATCACTGCTTATGCTGAAAAATTCAATGCCCTCTCATTTGCATCTTTATAAACCAGAATCATCTTCTTCCACTTCTCTAAATATGGACCACAATCTGTATCTTAATGCTATCACGTAGTATTATAGATTACAAATGTTTTTAATTTGATTGGAAATGTCAACTTTCGTATTTTAGTTTTTGGAGCCATACTCTGATTAATACGGATGTTCATATACATCTTTATATAATATAAAGTAACAGTCTTGCTACAACTATTGGAGGGAAAATTCCCGCCCAAATTAATTAAATGCATAATGAGAAATCAATGTGAATAAAAATGAAATCTCGGTTGGCCAAATATTGCATCATTGAAAGAATGAAAACATGGTAAGGTTTGAGCATTTTTTACAAAATTAGAAAATATGGTATGCATCATGCATACACATTAACATTCCTTACATATTTTTCATACACTATTTTTGGAAATAAACAAAACTAACTTCACAGTTATATACGGAGGACATATATGTCATAATTTATTGACCATGTGTCACATGTTTATGGCAATGTGAAAGTGTACGTCAACATTTTTTTAAAGTGTACGTCAACATCTTCTATTTACCATATATGTATACAACATTGCATACTATCAAATGATGAATTATTATTAATTAATAGAGATATTACCCAAAATGGGACTTAAAAAGTTTAGAAATTCCAAAATAGGACTTCCATGTTTTTATTATCAAAATAGGACTAATTACTGTCATGTTTTTGCAGTACCAGACTTCAAACATGAGAGTATTTTCCAAATTTTGCAGTAATTAGTCCTATTTTGGGAATAAAAACATGACAGCCTTATTTTAGAATTTTCAAACTTTTTTAGTCCCATTTCGGTAACTTTCCCTAATTAATATTGCCATATACGTGTTTACTCCTACTATATACATATATTGGTTACATATAAAACATTACATATTGCCAAATATACATACAAAAAAATGCACTTATTTTCCAAAAAATTATTTGATTGCCTTTCTGGTTGAATTTTTTGCTTAAATTTTTGTGGACATCATCACACTTCAGGTGGAACATGCTCGAAAACATTTAACAAAAATAGCATTAGGAACCACCTCAAAAGTCAAAACGAGGTGGCTGGACGGCGCTCTGGTCATGAAAAATTGATAAGGTTCTAACTGAAATGGCTGAGTTGGTTGAATCTACAGAAATACGAAAAGATTATATTTAAAATATTTTTGACTAATGAAACAAGAAAAATTTATATGAAAATGGATAAAACCAGCTTCTACATTAATTTCAGCCCATTGAGGAAGAAAAATAGCTCTAATATTACTTATCCTGGTTATTACACAATTCAGCATGTGAAATGAAAAGTTACGTGTTTGGTGAAAAAGTTAGTTGATAAAAATGATAAACCGAAAATACGAGTGACCAAAAGGACTCTTAAAATCTAATAATGCCAAATCATGGCAGTAGAAGTTCCTACTATTTAAGGAACAAAAATATGACATTCTTTTAATTCACATTTTTTTTCTTTTTGGAATTCCAAAACTTTGTTATTCCTATTTAAAGCAATTTCCTGTTATATTAGTATGTTTACTTTTAAAATACAATCAATCAAAGAATTTTAACTTGCTTTAGTAGGCTATTAAAAAGATAAAATAATTGATTAATCATATAAAAAATCAATATAAGTTTGAAAAACATTGTAGGAATGATATAAAAACAGTATTATTTCAAAACCAGATAGGTAATTTAAACAAGTTAAAATAAACAATAGAAAAAGGGAAAAAGTACAGTCAAAGTGTAAGAACTAAAAAATTTAAAAAATAAATTTTAAAAAGATGTAGAACATACAAATAGTTCCAAAAATTCAAAAAAAATATTTTTCACATTCTTAAAATGTACACAACTTTTTAATGTAACAAGTTTTTAATATAAAAACACGCTATTACAGGTCAGAAATCTGTTAAATGCTAGATTGATCATTTTTTTAATGTAAGCATATTTATATGATGATACGTAGTACTACATTCCTTCACTAACATTAGGACAAAAAGGGTGACACAATTATTAACAAAAGTAAATATGAGACAAGAAGGGTGATAAAGTAAGCATAAAGTAAATATGATTCAGAACCACATAATCTTTATCAAATTTGATATGAGACAATATTGGTGGGATTTTTTGAAAAGGTAAAATGAGACAATTTTAGTGGGACGGAAGAAGTATTTTTTTAGTATAAGGATTTAAGTAACCAAGCATTCCAGCTCAGCTGGCTGCGAGGTTACCGTGTCTAGCGAAAGGCCTCGAGTTCGAAATCCGCTAGGCACTCTAGGCCCCCAAGCCCCCTCCCCCAGACTCCCTGGAGTAAAAAAAAAGTATAACGATTTAAGTGATAATTGGCCTCTTTCCCCTTTTTATTTAGAAAATTATTGCTCATTACATACCATTATCATTCTCCATAATAGAATGCAATTTCAAACAAGTTATTATTCCACTCTAGATGTACCCCGTGCATCGCACGGGTACTTTGTCTAGTATATGTGTATATGATGAGTTTTCCCGCACTTAAAATATGTAGTTGTATAGGGATAAATTACGGGTATCATCTCCACAGGGACGGAAAAAGAAAATCAAGAATTAAATAAATTAAGCGATAAAACTAAATAAAAAATGCAATGTGCGAGATTGGATTTTGGAATGGTAGATTCTATGGTACCCATAAGGTAACATACCTTTGTCAACAGAGACCAATCATAATGATGCAGTTGAATTATTTAAATCTAAATTAAAACGGATATAATGATTTGGCCCAATCAAATGCATGGTAGGTACGGAACCCCATTTTTTAAATGGGTATCGAAGTCGTCACCTTTTGGAAATTTAACTAATGCGAAAGCAGATAAAATAACGGGTTCTTTCTAATTAAAGACGATAGGGAATGAGGATTGATTTCGGAACCATGCCTATGATCCTCTCCATTTCTCGTTTGAAATTAAATGGGTCTGATCCTCTCCATTTCTCGTTTGAAATTAAATGAATCATCAATCAGATACGGTATCATCGCCTTTATACCATGATTAATACAATTAAACGCAATAATAATGGTATAATATACAACAACAATAACATCCAAGTCTTAGTCCCAAAAGATATTGGAGTCGGTAAACATGATATCACCACCAAATGGAAACGAAAGAAAATAAAGATAAACTATTATTAAAAAAAGATAATATAAAAAGAGATGAATATACCTAAAAAGATGTAATAAAAAGGATTTTTTTGGAAGAATTCGGCTTATATTGATAACAGATAATTCAGAGTACGGGTCAAACGACAAAAAGAAAGTTGATAACCGTTATTCCGCGAACCAGACTCGATATTAATCACCTCCAAAGAAGCAATATAATTCGTTGATCCATAAATGGGAAACCTAAAGCCAAAAACGGTCACCACATTCCTCTCATCCCCCATATCCAAAACCAATGTCTTACAATCAGGAATACCAAAACAAAAACAAATAGCAAAACTGAAATAAACATTACTGAAATGACAAACAAAGCAAAAAATAAAAGACTTCCTTCGCAGGCAGCAAACGAACACCATCGCTCGGACCTGCGGCCTCCATGCATCCATCAGCAACTTCG